ATGGTTTTAGATTGTGCAGTGCTTTTTCAACAATGTCTTCTGTAAAATCGATATGTATTAAATCATTGTAGTTTTCTGTGGTTTGACTAGGAAATACTGGGCATGATCCATTGCTGTTTACAAATACTGAGCCAAATAATGTGTTAAAGAGGTTGGCTTTAATAGGGTTGTTATTGCAGTCTTTACCATTAGGTCCTTTCAGGGATGGGATGGACCTTGAGTCTTTTAGTTTGTTGTTTATAAAATTGTAGAAAGCACAGATGGAATTGGTGTGTAGAAGGTTTTCTTCTTGTTTAATGTGATAATTGGTGCATTCAGTTTTTATCTGGTGACATAAATTTTTGTATCTGCTTTTGAATTTGGCAACGTGACCAGATTTGTTTTTCTGCCAAAGTGATTCTTTTTGGATTGAAGCTTCCTTATTGTTTTGGGTAAATTTTTTTTTCTGGTTTTGGGAGTTGTTAATGGTACATATAGTTTGATGACTCTTTTAACTTCAAATAAAAATATGTTGTAATGGTCTTCTACAGTATTGCATTCAGAGAATAGAAATTGCCAATCAAGGGATGAGAGATCGTTGTTTATAAGATCATAGTTGCCTTTTTTGAAGTTATAATTGGGGATTTCGTTGTTGTGATGATTTTTGTGTGGATGTATGTGGAGGCAAAAGTCAATCATGTTGTGGTCACTGTTGGAAAAGGGTTCTTTATTTTGTATTCCGCAAATTGAATTCAAACTATTGCAGAAGATGAGATTGAGGCAGTTGTTAATTCTAGTGTTGTTGATTACTAGTTGTTCTGGTCCCAGATTTGTTATTACATTGTAGAAGGTTGCATGTATGGGTTCAGTTGTACTTCATTAAGGGTCGAGTTAATATGAGGTAGATTGAAGTCACCAAGAAAGATAAAAGCGTGTGGGCAGGATGTTGCCCATGTTAGTAGTGAATTTAGCTTGTTTATATGTTCAATGTCATAATCAGGGGCTCTGTAACATAGTAAGAACCGAAATGTGATATTTAAGGACAGTTCACAGGCGATGGTCTCAGGAAGAGCAAGTTCCTGGGTAACTTGAATGTTGTTTAGATTTAGGGACTTTTTATAGAAGATAGCAACACTACCTCCTCTACAGATTTCTTGATCTGATCAGTAAACATGATAGTCTCTTACTGTGGTAATGGAGTCAGGGAGAGATGCATTGAGCCATGTTTCATAGACAAATATAATGTCGAATTTAGCCGTATTTAGTAAGAGGAGAAATTCAGGTATTTTATTTACAAGGCTTCTTGCATTGAGTAGCTAAGTATTAAAATGGAAAAAGCTGAGGATAAAGGATAGAATTACCTCTGAGGACTGCTAGTAAGGACACCAAGTTTATCCACTGGATCATTTCTGCTTCCTCTAATGAATGGAAGGGAACTGATATAGAGAATTTGTGAATGTGCTCAAACTTTGTGTTGGTGGGTATAGCCTGAAAAGGGAAACCATGCAGTTCCTTTAAAGGGGAAATTGGGCTCTAATTTACATATTGATTGAGATAAAAGAGCTCCTGATTGCATTCACTTAAAAGTTGTTTGGACAGACCTAACATGTGTGACTTTTAAATATGGCTCCATTCCTATGGAAAGTGATGCCAGGCATGCTTTGTTCTTGTTTTTCTGTGACTAAATTCTTCTTCATATACTTTAGCAAATAAAAACTGGTTCATAAATGATAAGTATCATTCAACTACTTCAATATTAGCAGCTTCTTCAGATCACCAGTAGAGAAAATGAAAGAGGTTCTGTTCTACTTTGCTGCATGGAAATATAATTTCTCCTCCTTTACTGAGGCCATGAAAGCTGACTCATCTTGGACACCAGTCATGAGCTATACGGGATTTTGATAGGCTTCATCACAACTTCTTTTCAGTGTGACATTCCAGCACAGTAATACACTGGGTTATTACACTCTGGTTTCAAGCTGTACATTTGGAGATAAAGTATGCTTGGAGGCATCTCAACGAGAGATGGTGAAATGGCTTTTCACTGAATTAGCATAGTATTGGGTGCTTCCATCTCCATTCTTGTCTATCCATGCAACCCTCTCCAGTCCTTTCCCAGGAGATTGCTTCACCCAGTTCATATCATAGCTACTGAAGTTGAAGCCTGAAGCTTGGCAGGAGAGGAGGAGGGACTCCCCAGGCCTTCTCACTTCCCCTCCTGATCCCAGCATCTGGACCTCTATTTGGACATCTGGAAATATTAATCTGGAAATATTAATATGTATATTTTAACTATCTGGCATGTTGCTGTCCATTTACCTCAAGCATATTGGAGCCTGTTAGCTTCCGCCTCTGTATGGAAGAACCATTACCTTTGATGATTACTAAAATGGAAACTAGTTGGAGCAAAAATAACATTTTTATTTCTGAGTGGAGAAGTTCCAGGCTTCTGCTCTTCAGCCACAGGTTGAGAAGGGTGGGAGATGTTGTCATATAAAGAGGAAGGATAGGCCTGTATTTATATAAACTTCAGGATAAAAGACAATCAGATTTGGCAATATCTCCTTTATTGACTTGTATTGAAGGATTACAAAAATAAGGCATTGATAAGGGCACCTGCTTTACAGGTTAGGTTATGCCCCATGATCAACATGAAATTATTCAAGTTGCACAATATTAAAATGATAAACAGAGGAATTCAAGAACTTCCAAAAGGTAAATAAGCCAAAAATGCAACAAATTATTAAATAAAACAATAATAGTATGAAATATATCACTACATCTTTTTATATCTATATATTTGTTTCAGACAATGCACAATTAATGCAAATATGTTTATTATGTAGATTAAAAATTGTTTTCTCATCAGACTTAAATTCCCAGGACAACATTTGAAAAGGGGGAAGAGGAGGAAAATCATTTCAACAAATAAGGGATAACTATGGTGGATGCAAAACATTAATTAATCTCAAAAAAGAGATTGAAGGCAGGAAAAGAAACAATGGATAGAAACAAATAAAGGAGAGATCCAACCTGGAACTAAGGAGAATTTCCTGATAGTGAGAATAATTAATCAGCTTGCCTCTAGAAGTTGTGGGTGCTCCATCTGTAGACATTTTCAAGAAGAGACTGCACAACCATTTATCTGAAATTGTATAGGGTTTCCTACCTGAGCATGGGGTTGGACTAGGAGACCTTCAAGGTCCCTTCCAACTCTGTTACTCTGTTAAGACAAATACCAAGGAAGCATCTACTGGAGGCCCAAGTTAAAGCTCTTGATGCACCCTGTGTGACTTTCTCTTCTTATAATGCCTTAGAAGATATGAACAGTCAGACAGACCATTGTGAGAGAGCTTGGATATTACCAGTCCATCAATGTTTTGTTCAGTTCAATATCTTGGAAGAGACAAGTAAAAAATCAAGTTGTGGTCAAGTGGTATGTTGATCGAATGAGAAATAGGAATAAAGCCATAAAACCAATTCAGTTTAAGAAAGGAAAGATAGAGGGAACTCTTCTTTGTTTTGCAGAGAGAACTGACCAATTTTTCAAGTAAAAAACTGAGGAAAATAACATTCAGTGGGATTTCACAGAGAAGACTGACCTCTAATAATAAAGAGATGGAGTACAGGTAGCAAATTTAATTTCACTTGCAGAGACATGAGCCTGGGGAGGTTAATTTGTGCTAACTCAGGGACCACTTCTACATATCATATAATTTTGGCTTTAATACTGTAGCTGCCTAAAGTCAATGAGGCAACACCAATAACCTTTTATTTTATTTTATTACATGAAAAAAGTAAATTCCACGAAAAGAGTTCTCCATTCCTCTACTCGTTGCAGAATACCTTATGCCACCAGACTCAAAATTCTAGACCTAGAAAACCTAGAACTATGCCGCCTTTGGTCCAATCTAAGTATAGTATATAAAATCATACATTGCAATGAATACTTCAGCTTCAACCATAACAACACTAAAGCAAACAATAGATACAAACTCAAGTTTAACGGCACCAAACTTGATTGCAGGAAATACGACTTCAGCAACAGAGCGGTCAATATCTGGAATACTATACCTGACTCTGTGGTTTCTTCCCCAAACCCCCAAAATTTTAACCTTAGACTGTCTACTATTGACCTCACCCCTTTCCTAAGAGGTCTGTAGGGGGCGTGCATAAGCACACCAATGGGCCTACCGTCCCTGTCCTATTGTTTCTTTTATATATATTTTTTATTTTTCTTATATGTATCCATGTATTTATAACTATGTTTTACTTATTTTACTTATTTACCTATTATCTTGTAAGCAATTGACAAATAAAAATAAAATAAATAAATAAATAAATAAATAAAAAATATATAAGGAATTTTTTGTTTGTTTTTGTTTGCTATACACGTTGAAACTTGACATTGAAGAAGTTTTGAGAACTTTTGGGGAATGAAATTCTCAAAGGACCATTATTATTTTTTCTTTTCAAGAAACTATTTTAATTCTTCACAAAGCAGCTAGGGAAGCAGTCAAGTTCACAGCTGAAACCACATTTTTTTTTTTAGTCATCCTCAAAAATATTAGGTCTTTTGTGCCTCCTTGTGACGTCCCTTTGCTGATACAGAAGGCAGTTGGATTTATCTCTGGAGATGGCAAAGCTCCCTTTCATGGATTCCTCATGGACTTGCTTGTTAGCATCATACAATCCATTCTAGTCTCTTCCCTTGAGCCTGTCACACACAACTCACAACTCCATATTGTGAGCTCTATGGACCATTACTGATTCCTTGTGAGTATAAACTCAGATGTATCCTTCACCTTCAATTAAAAAAAACAGGTTCTTTGGGATTCTATTTTCCCTAATTTATATATCATATTTTTAAGTCTTAAAAATATTCCATGGAATATAGCATCCATGGATTATTCTTCTGCTATGATGCAGATCAATCACCTACTCCTCAGTTCAAAGTCTCAAATTCAACTTTCTGAGACTGAATCCACTGGGAGATCTGCTCTGAGGAAAATACGTTTTTGTCAAACTTCAGATTTACTTCCTCTCACTGTGTCTCTTGCACAGTAATAGACTGCCGTGTCCTCTGGTTTGAGGCTATTCATCTGCAGATACAGCTGGCTTTTGGCATTGTCCCTGGAAATGGTGAATCGCCCCTTGACTTTGTCTGAGTAGTAAATAGTACCAGAATTGTAGCTTATGTATGACACCCATTCCAGTCCTTTTCCTGGGGCCTGTCTCACCCAGCCCATGTTGTAGCCACCAAAGTTGTATCCAGAACCTTGGCAGGAGAGACGTAAAGAATCTCCAGGTCTTTTCACATCCCCTCCAGACTCCACCAACTGGACCTCAGATTGGACACCTAAAGTGAAAGTTGTTTTAGCAAACACTGCTTTATACAAGCATTAAAATGGAAAAAGCTGAATACAGAGCATAGAATTACCTCTGAGGACTGCTAGTAAGGACACCAAGTTTAGCCACAGGATCATTGCTGCTCCCTCTAATGAATGGAGAAGAACTGATTGTTGAGAAGTTTGGAAAGTTCACAAACTTTGTGTTGGTGGGTGTAACCTGAAAAGGGAAATCATGCAGCTCTTTTAAAGGGAAAATTGTCTCCTGATTTACATATTGATTGGGATAAAAGACCACCCCAGTGCATCTGCTTAGATATATTTTTGCACAGACCTTAAGACATATATCTTTCAAATCATGTTCTAGTCCTAAGAAAAGTGATGTCAGACATGATTTGTTCTTGTTTAGGAGCTGAAGGTGAAGCCTGAGGCTTGGCATGAGAGGAGGAGGGACTCCCCAGGCCCTCTCACATCCCCTCCAGATTCCATCAGCTGGGCCTCTATTTGGACATCTGGAAAGGATATATTGATATGTACATTTTAGTATCCACCATGTTGCTGTCCATTAACCTCAGGCATATTGGAGCCTGATAGCTTCTATCTCTGTATGGAAGAACTATTGCCTTTGATGATTGCTAAAATGGAGTCTAGTTGGAGCAAAAATATCATTTTTCTTTCTCAGTGGAGACATTCCAGGCAGACTGGCTTTTGCTCTCCAGCCACTGGTTGAGGAGGGTGGGAGATGATGTCATATAAAGAGGAAGGTCAGCCCCGTATTTACACACACTTCAAGATAAAAGAGAATCAGATTTGGGTCATTATATCACCAAGAGTTTTTGAAAAACTGAAGGGGTATATGAATATTATGTCCACCATACTGTATGTATTAATTTAATTTTATGAAAAACTCCCCATTTTTTAAAGACCAGCTTGTCATATTTCTGTATATGGTTCAATGGACTTTTGAAAGGAATTTTCAATCTAATGTAATGTTGTTTCCTCCAAAGAACACCATTTTTATTCATGTATTTAATTTTCATGTAATAGAGTGTATTTAATGCACTATGATGAACTCATGCGATTTTATATTAATCTCCTTTATGTACTTTCATTGAAGGATTACAAAAATTGGGTGTTGAAAAGAGCACCAGGTTTTATAAGTTAGGTTATGTCCCACTATCAACATGCAATCATTCAAGCGAGCACAATATAAAAAAAGGATAAACAATGGAATCCATCAACTTCCAAAAGTCAATAAATCATTAAATAAAAAATAATAATAACAATACTGAGAAATACACCACCACATCCTATTTATAATCTGTAGATTTGTTTGGATGTTTTAGATAGTGTGAAATTAATGCAAATAACTTTATTTTAACTTTAATTAATGCAAATAACATTATTTTCTGCTCTGACTTTAGAGTAAAATTCCCAGGAGGACATTTAAATAGGGGGAAGAGGGGAAAATCATTTCAACAAATAAGGGATAACTACTGGGGATGCAAAACTCAAACTAATCTCAATAAAAGAGATTGAAGGCAGGAAAAGAAGCCATGGATGAAACTAACAGTGAAAGCAATCAATCCATGTAACAGAAGTTGCCTGGAGAAATTATGGGAGCTTTATCACTGAAGCTTTCAAGAAGAAACTGACTGCCATCTGTCAAAAATGGTGTAGCTGGGGGGTTGAACTAGTTAACCCACAAGGTCCCTTCCAATTATGTTAATCTACATAAAAACTAATCACGGAGAGATCCAACCTGAAACTAAGCAGAAATTTCCTGATAGTGAGAACAATTAATCCATGGAACAGCTTTCCTCTAGAAGTTGTGGCTGCTCCATTAGTAGAGGTTTTCAAGAAGAGCCTGGACAACCATTTGTCTGAAATGGTATAGGGTTTCCTACCTGAGCAGGGTGTTGGACTAGAAGACCTCCAAGCTCCCTTCCAACTATGTTACTCTCTTAAGACAAATACCAGAGAACCACCTTTTAAAGCTCTTGATGTAATCTGTGTGACTCTCTATTCTTATGATGCCTTAGAAGAAATAAACATTCAGAGACAGAGGTGACAGAGCTTGGATACTATGGATCCATCAATCTTTTGTTCAGCTCTATATCTTGGAAGAGACAAGTCAAAAATCACATGGTGGTCAAGTGGTATCCTGGTAGAATGAGGAACAGGAATAAAGCCCTAAAACCAATTCAGTTTGGACTAAATTTAAGAAAGGAGAGATAGAGGGAACTCTTCTTTGACTTGCAGAGAGAACTGACCAATTTTTCAAGGAAAAACTAAGGAAAATAACATTCAGTGGGGTTGTACAGGGAAGACCGCCCTCTAATGATAAGCATATGGCATACAGACTTTACCAGCCTACCCGGAGAATTAATCAATTTTCTTCTGAGGGGGTCTGAACACAATGTCTAATCCAGCCAGTGACCAAGAAGACCTGGGAGCAACTGGAGGACCAGATTCCCTGCTGTTAGATGTGGCAGGGGAAGCCAACTTGTTAGCAGCATTAAGTCTTGGTGAAAAACCAGCTGTAAAGCCCAAATGATCCCTGGTAGTCAGCTGGAAGGATCCTGAGGAAAAGCCAGGAGTGACCACTACCCATCGGCATGGAAGAGAAGAGCCATGGCAAGAGAAGGAAAGAATTTTTTACTAACTCAAGCCCTGCATCTTCTAAATGAAGCTGTCGGAGAAACTCAGACTGATCAAAGGTATGAGATGGAAGAGGGGGAGGCAGCCCCAGCCAGAAGAATTAGAGCAGCCATCCCCATAAATCAACCTGGGCCGGCACAAAAGGCGGCAGCAGCCCAGGGGCCCCTGGGGGGGGGAGTTATTGCCAGAAGGCGTAGAACTCCAAAGGTGCCTCCATTGGAAGTAAAATATGGAGGGGATCCCAAGGAGTTAGGATTCTTCCTGGCACAAGTCTGGAGCCATATGGAGGAATATGGAGAGGATTTTTCATTGGAATCAGCCAAAGTTAGATGTGTTACCAGGGCTCTTGAGGGAACAACTTCAAAGTGGATGGTGACATTGCATAATGATAATGCCCCCCCCAGCTAATGAATTATGACCTGTTCATGACTGCGCTGTGGGCCAGGTTTGAAGACCCACTTGCTGAACATAAGGCCAGAATTAGGATGAATGCCATAAATCAGGGGCGGAGATCAGTGGCCAACTACACCCAGGAATTTAGAGAGCTGCCATGTCATATTTGAGGCTGGTCCCAGGGAACCCTGATATAAGCTTTTAAAGATAGGTTGAATGAAGATGTTTATCAAAGCTGTATTGCCAGAAGAGACCTCAGTGAGCTGCAGCTGTGGTACATGCTGGCAGCAGAAATGAAAATTGATCTGACCCACAAGGGAGACGCCTGAGGGACCTTGGTTGAAGCAAATCCTCCCCCACCAGCCCTCGAGAAGCCTTAAAACCTCAAAAGGGAGGGATGGCAGCAAAACCCAAGACCATTGCATGCTTCTGAAGTGGATGGCTTTTGGCATTGTCCTTGGAGATGATGAAGAGTCCCTTCACATTGTCTGAGTAGTCTGTTAGTCCTCCAATATCACGTATCCATGCCACCCATTCCAGTCCCTTCCATGGAGGCTGTCTCACCCAGCCCATGTTATAGCTGCTGAAGGTGAATCCAGAGGCTTGGCAGGAGAGACGGAGGGATTCCTCAGGTCTTCTCACATCCCCTCCAGACTCCACCAACTGGGCCTCAGATTGGACACCTGGAAAAAAAGAATAATTTCCAACATTTCCTACATATAAAAAGAGAGGAATGGAAGAATGTGGTATATGAATAAGAACATTTACCTCCAAGAACTGCAATTAAAAATGTCAAATAGAGACAAAACAACATTTTGTTCACTTGTATGGAAACATAGCCACCTTTTATTCTTCTCCTTACAACCTGGGGACAAAAGTGGTCTGACTAATTCAAAGAGGAACTTGTCATGCAATTTTCATAGCCCTCAAAATAAAAGGCCTTCTCACTCTTTTCTTCGTCTTCTCAGTTCCTTGGACGTCTGTTGAAGAGATATTTGGGTGATGGCTAGCAAGTGGCTAGAGTATCAAAGGGACAAGCAGATGAATGTTTATGCAGAATGAAAGGGATATTTGGTCAACTTGCTAAAATAATGCAAAGGAACTCCACCCCCCAAAATAAATAAACAAATTGTACTTTTCAAAGCCATGTGGAAAAATGCTAATTGAGTACATTTTACTTGGAGGGTGAGAACTTTGATATAAATAAAAATGCTGCAACTGGGTTTACAAATTCAGGTTTGTTTTTTTAACATAAGCATGATTTGTTTTATTAATTATATAAAGGGAAGGGATGTTTCATCATCTCCAGGGATAATTCCAATAGCCAGCCATATCTGTAAATGTACTGCTATATAGAATCAACTAGACAGATGATTTAGGTAGACCAAATTATATACAACCTAAAAGAGATAAAACTTACAGGTTTTAAGGTTTCTTAAAGGCTTTTTTTGAGGATTCTCAATAATGGGCAATAGAATTGTCCTTAATTTGTCCTTGGTACATAGTACATGTCCTTGGTCCTTGGTACATTATATACAGCCAGTCCTGAATGTACAATCAGTGTAATAGCAACTGTTTGAAGTTCCTCCACTCAAACTGAAAGCTACCTATAAACCAGGTTTGAAGTTCTGAATTGGAGCCTCCACATAGTCAAATGACTGTACTTTAGGTGCGGATGAACTCCACCAAAATTATGGTCATTTGAAGGACCTCAAGAAGATAGGACAATGACTTATTTTATTCAGTATCCAATCACAATGGAGCTGGAAGGGACCTTGGAGGTCTTCCAGTCTAATGGTTGCCAACCGGTGAGCTGCGGCCCACTGGTGGTCCATGAGAAAAGTTTGGTGGCCTGCAGAGAAATGTCCTCACAAATCACCCCCCCCAGCAATTAATCCAGGTTCTGTGGGAACACAAGTCTGCGCCACCCACATGGCCCACCTACCTGCTGGCCCCCACCCTTCAGCCAAGTGCAAACCTGCAAAAAGCAGCACAGCCCTTGCTGGCCAGGATGAAAAGTGCCACTTTCTGTTGCCTGTGCTTTCCCTGATCTCCGCTCTTTTGTCCCAGCGAGAGCTATGTTTTTGCTCACTTTCTTTTCCTGTGCCTTCCCTGGGCAGTGATAGCTGGGGCTGAGGGGGGGAGCAGCAGAGACATCAGGAATGCTCCCCCGACTCAGCAAGCTGGGCCTGGAGGAGCGTGGAGAGTTGCGGGCGAGCGTCGGAAGTCAGAAGAGTCAGAAGATACTCCAACATCTCTGAGTCCTCTTGTGTGGAGGCCAAAGGGATGGGGGGGTCAAACCCAGAAAATCTCGAGCTCTCACCTGCACAATAGTGACAAGGCAAACTATGGGGCTTCCAAGGTGCTCAGCTCAACCTGACCAGGAGTTTCTGTTGGTCCCACAACAATCTGGCAGTGAAGGTCGGATGCCCAAACCAAAAGAGCACCAAGGAAGATGACCTCCTAATAACCAGCCTGTTTCTGCTGGTTATTAGGAGCCTCCACACAAGAGGACTTCACGAGAGACGTGAGTGTATCTTCTGACCCTCCGGCACTCATCCACAATTCTCTGCACTTCTCTAGGCCTGGTTTGCTGAGTACGAGGAGCAGCCCTGGTGTCTCTGCTGCCCCACCCCCATGGCCCCAGCCATCACTGCCTGGGAAAGGCACATGAGAAGAAAGCAAGCAGAAACATAGCTCTTGCTTGGGTGAAAGAGTGGAGATCGGGGAAGGCACAGGCAACAGAAAGCAGCGTTTTCAAAGGTGACAGCTTGCGTCTTCTGTTGCATATGCCTTCCTCAATCTCAGCTCTTTCTCCCCAGCGAGAGCTTTTCCTGTGCCTTCCCCGGGCAGCAATGGCTGGGGCCGTTGGGAGGGTGGCGGCAGAGCAGAGCGCCGAGATGCTGCTGATGCCGCTGCATTCTGGACCTCTGAAGTGGATGAGTGCAGACTTGCCCACTCTGCCCCCTCCCACCAACAACAACCAGTACTTTTCCAGCCCCAGGCTGCCCCTACAGCCCAAACTAGGAGAGGTGAGCTGGATGGTGTGGAAGTGCCATGCAAATGCCAGTAGCATGGCTCTCTTGCACCTTCCAGCCATCTCCATTGCCAGTTCAGCTCACCTGTGCCACCATTACCTCAACAACACCATTACCTCATCCTGGCTGGTGAAGGCTGCGCTGCTTTTTGCATGTTGCACCACCTGCAAATTTGCACATTATACGTGCCACCCCCTATGGAGGAGATTTCCAACCCCACCATGGGCCGGTCCCACATTCCAGAGTTGCAGTAGTCACAAGACTGGTATTTTGGTCATTCCAGAGCAGCTCATCCATGGCTGGCTGGTGCACCAGCTAGTCCTGTGACTACTAAAGATCTGGAATATGGGACTGACTTTCCCACCAATGTCAACAAGACACCATCAGTCAAAATTCATATTAGTGGTCCATGGGATTTGAAATTATAAGTTTGGTGGTTCCTGAGATCCAAAAGATTGGACACCCCTGTTCTAGTCCAACCCTATACTATTTCAGATGGGTAGCTGTCCAGCTTTGGCTTCTGGATTGTGGAGAAACAATCCCATAACAAACAATGAGTTCGCTTAATGACTGCTGTGTTCACTGCAATAAAGGTACCAAGGCTGGGTCTGATCATGGGATGACCTACGTAATAACTTAACAGGCTCAAGTACAGTTGTAACTCAAGGACCACTGGTACATATGATATGATTCTGGCTTTAATACTATAACTGCCTAAAGTCAAAGATGCAACACCAATAACCTTTTACTTTGTTGATCAACCAACATACATGAAACAAGTAAATGGAATATAAGGGATGCTATGATGTGGATTTATCAATTACTCCCCAATTCAAAGGCTCTGCTTCACCTTTCTGTGACTGAATTCACTTGGAGATCTGCTCTGAGGAAGAAAAGGTTCTTGGCTGGCTTGAGATTCACTTCCTCTCACTGCGTGTCTAATGTAGCGGTAGATTCCCATGATAAGGTAGATAACTATGGTCAGGATGTTTATTTGCAGATACAGCTGGCTGTTTGGCATTGTCCCTCGAGAAGGAGCAGCATTGCTTCACTTTCTCTGAGTAGTGAGTATTATTGTAACTAGAGGAAATGAATGCCACCCATTCCAGTCCTTTCCCAGGAGCCTGTCTCACACAGCTCATGTTGTTTTTTTCCAGAACCCTTTTAGGAAAGATGGATGGGTTGCCCAGATACTCTAATGATCCATGGATTTCTACTGCTATAATGTAGAGCGACCACCTGCCCCTCAGTTCAAAGACTCAAGTTCAACTTTTTGTGACTGAATCCACTTGGAGATCTGCTCTGAGGGAGGGAAGGTTCTTGCCTGCCTTCAGACTCACTTCCTCTCACTGTGTCTCTTGCACAGTAATAGACTGCTGTGTCCTCTGGTTTGAGACTGTTCATTTGCAGATACAGCTGGCTTTTGGCATCTTCACCCTGGAGATGGTGAAGCGGCCCTTCACTTTGTCTGAGTAGTAAATAGTACTGGCATCATACCATATGTAGGCTACCCATTCCAGTCCTTTCCCAGGAGCCTGTCTCACCCAGTCCATGCTGTAATCGCCAAAGTTGTATCCAGAACCTTGGCAGGAGAGACGGAGAGAATCTCCAGGACTCCTCATGTCCCCTCCAGACTCCACCAACTGGACCTCAGATTGGCCACCTAAAATAAAAGTTGTTTTACCAAACACTCCTTTATACAAGCATTAAAATGGAAAAAGCTGAGTATAGAGGATAGAATTACCTCTGAGGCAAGATAATAAGGACACCAGATTTAGCCACATGATCATTTCTGCTCCCTCTATTGAACAGAGTGTAACTGGTAGTAGAGAAATTGGGAAAGCACTGGTGGGTATATCCTGAAAATGGAAATCAAGCAGTTCCTTTAAAGGGGAAATTATGCCCTGATTTACATATTACTTGGGATAAAAGAACCACTGAATGTATTCACCTAGATACAGTGGAACTTCAGATCATGACTGTAATCCGTTCCAGGATTTCAGTTGCAATCCAATGTGGTTGCGAATAGAAGTGAGACTGACTGCATATAGCCTACAATTCTGTGCATGTGCAGAAGGGGAAATCGCCATGGCAGGAAAAATCACCAAGGCTGTACTAGTCAGCACCCAAGGATCGTTCATGTCCACAAGCAACAATTTTCCCAAAGTTTTGGTCATCACCCAATTTGGTCACAAACAGAAGGATTTGTGACCCGAGGTTCCACTATATATTTGTTGTACAGACCTTAGACATATGTTTTTCAAATAATGTTCCAGTCCTAAGAAAAATGATGACAGACATGCTTTGTTCTTATTTTCCTTTGAATACATAACAAAATACTAATAGGAAAACTGTACTGTAAGTGAAACAAGCACTTGAACAATTCCACAATTTTTCAAAAATGAGTCAAGGTAGCAGAGAAATTATTTGCTAACTACATAGGTATTAAGAGATTTCATACACCCTTCCTTGCCTCCTTCCTTCCCTCCCTCCCTCCCTCCCTCCCTCCCTCCCTCCCTCCTTCCTTCCTTCCTTCCTTCCTTCCTTCCTTCCTTCCTTCCTTCCTTCCTTCCTTCCTTCCTTCCTTTCCCCAAGCATATTAGTGACTAAGCCTTGAGGAACAATTTCTAATCCACAGTTGTAATACAAAAAGGCAGAATTAAATAATGTTATGTCCCAAAATGTTTTCATTGTTGAATTAGAAAGTTCAAAAGATCTCTTCTTATTTTATTCTCCAAAAAAATCAGATTGTGATAAATCTAAGAAATATATTTGTTGCAATTTCAGACGTGGCTTCACAATGAAGATCTTCCATGTAAGAATGATTTACTTTATTCATTTAATTATGTTTTCCCCCTTTTATATAAAATTACTACATTTGGATTTCAAAGTAAGAGAAAAACTATGTTTTGCAATCCATTATTGACACAAAGATGTTGAATGAAGGGAATATCTCTTTTGATTCAAGATTATAAGGACCCATTCCAGTCCCTTCCCAGATACTGTTTTATCCTGCCTGTATTGTGAAGGTGAAGCCAGAGCAGAGGTGGTATTCAGCAGGTTCTGACCAGTTCTGGAGAACCAGTAGAAAAAAATTTGAATAATTTGGAGAACTGGTAAATACCACCTCTGACTGACCTCACCCTCATCTATTCTCTGCCTCCCGAGTCCCAGCTGATTGGCTGGGTCTTTTTTTGTTGCCTTGCACAGGAGAACGGAGCTGGAAAGCAGGTTAGTGGGGTAGGGGAGGGAATGTAGATTTCTCAGTATCCTTCCCATAGAGTGGGAAGGGAATGGAAATTTTGCAGTATCCTTCCCCTGCCACACCCACCAAGCCACATCCACTGAGCCAAGCCACGCCTACCAAGCCACGCCCATAGAACCCACTAAGCCATGCCTACAGTAAAAAAAAGAATCTCATCACTGAGCCAGAGGCTCATCAGGAGATATAGATAATGCCTCAATAGGCATTATCATATCTCCTTCAGACTCCACCATTTGCAACTCCAGTTTTATACCTTGAAATGAGAAACAGAATAAGAAAAAATAGGAATATTGTTGAAATATTATAGTAGTAGTGAGCCTTAATCCCATTGTTACAGCCCAGGAAGGAAATAGTCATGAAGTATCATGACCAAACAGAAAGAGTAACAGAGTTGGATGGGACTTTTTTTTTTCAATAAAGTTTTATTTGGGTTTTCACACATACAAAATACAAGTAAAACATATATTTTTTAAAACAGCATGGTCCCAGGTTGAACTTCTTTATACAGACACAAAACTCAATTTCATGCTCCTTTTTGTATTCTATTCCATATCTTATACTATTTTACATTTTCTATGTAGTTTTTCCCCTCTTTTAATTTTCTCAATTTAATTTTGATTATCTCATCTCAATTCAAATCATTCTATTTATACTTTTGTCTGTTATGTTTCAATTTCATATTATCTTTTCTCATTAAACAAATTTTCTCCTGTAGTTACTAATTGGAGTATGACACCTTTATATCTTTAAATTACATCCATTCAACTTTTATTTAAACTTCAATATATACCTTAAGGTTATGACCTTCAATATAATACATAATACATAACTTCCAATCGAATTCTGCTTGGCACATTCTTTCCATTCTCTTTCCCCCCTTTCCTTTTTTCCCCCAATCTAAGATTCATTAAAGATGGCTTCTTCTTTGTCGCAATTTTCTTGTTCTGCAGACATTTCTTGTTGTTTCTCATAATTCCAAATCTCCATTTCTAAAAACTGAAATACAAAGCCAAAAGAACCTCTCCCTTCTTTTGCATCTTCTTTGTACTTTTTAAGTTCCATTTTCAGTTCTTCTAAAAGTGGAGCCATTTTCAACAGTTTTAAACAACCACCCGATTGATTTTAGTCATTCAAAACAATAACCAAGAATCTAGAAATCATCAAGTAATCCAAATAGTCCTGAGTTGTATCTTCTTATTTCTTTTTCAACTTTCTCTTCCTGGGGTTTTTGTTGCAATATTTCAGTTAGAATGTATCTTTTGGAAGTCTTGTTGAGATTTTGCTGTAAGTTCTTTTTTAATTCCAGGCAGTCTCCTCCCTTCCAGATCCTACCCTTTTATTCTTTTTCTCTCCTTTCCTGTTTTCAAAAGCTTTTAATTATCCAGAAATCCTTATTATCCCTTTGACTTTTTATTTTCAGCATTAAATGCCTATTAATGTCAAAGTGGATTTTTTTCCAATTTCTTGCTTAAGTCACTTAGCTGCCAGTATGGGAAAAGGAGAAAAAAAAATCTTTTTCCCTTTCTCTCTCCTTCACAGCTTAAAAATCTTCTTAGGGAACAATGTTATTGTTTTTTAATAGTTTCAATTCCAGGGTAACTTATTTGTTGCTTTTGCTGTTTGACCCAGTCAACCAAAACTTTCTCTTCTTATCTTCCTCCTGCACATTCTTTTCTGGTCAAGTTCTTCTTTGAGGTGTCCATTTCTGACCACTGCTGCAACTGCCTTCGGGAAAGGGAGTAATGGCCAGCTGGGGAGGAGAGATGTGGCTCTCCTCAACCCTGCAGGCACCTCCACGGGGTGGCTTAGCCCTGAAACCAGCCAGCTCGGGGCGCTCCAGTGGCGAGCACAGATTGAAGCCTCGCAGAGACAAGGTTTCGGTCTGTTGCTGAAGAAGCTCAAACCAGAAGTGGGGACTTTGAGGTCTTCTAGTCCAAACAGGAGACCCTATAACATCTCAGACAAATGGCTGTCCAATCTCTTCTTTAAAAAAGTCAAATATAGAGCATCCACAATTTCTTAAGCAAGCCCTTCCAATGATTAATTTTCCTAACTGTTAGGAAATTTCTCCTTAGTTCTACATTGGATCTCTCCCTGATTAGTTTCCATCCATTGCTTCTTGTTCTGCCTTAAGGTGCTTTGGAGAATAGATTGATTGCTTGTAATTTGTGGCAGTCCCTTAGATATCGGAACACTGGTATCATGTCATTCTTAGTTCTTCTCATCATTAGACAAGACATACCCAATTCCCACAACAGTTCTTCATATGTTTCAGCAAACAGAAATTGGTTCAGAAATAATAAATATCCTTCAACTACTTCAATATTAGTGGCTTCTCCATGTCATCAGTAGAGAAAATGAAAGTGGTTCTGCTGCACTTTTCTGCATGGAGAGCTAACTTCCTTTGTTTTTAATTCAGGGCATGGAAGCCGATTCAACTTGGATGGCAACCATGAGCAATAAGGGATTTTGTCAGGATTCACCATAGCTTCCTCTCACTGTGAGTCTCTAACACAGAAATACACAGTGGTGTCCTCTGGTTTCAGGCTGTTCATTTGGAGATAAAACATGTTGGAGGCATCTCTCCAGGAGATAGTGAAACAGCCTTTCACTGAATTGGTATAGTATTGGGTGCTCCCATCTCCATTGTTGTCTATCCAGGAAACCCACTTGAGTACTTTCCCAGGAGACTGCCTCACCCAGTTCATATCAGAGCTGCTGAAGGTGACACAAACAATCAGACAACATCATAAGCAACTCAAATACAACAAACATCTCTCAAGAAGCTATCTTTGAAATAACCAGAGGTGGCCCTGGGTACAAATACAATGACGGCTCTATGGCCCCAAGATTTTGGAGAGTTGTATGCAAAAATGAGTCCAGCAAACACATATTCACTCATACAATAAACACCATTGCAAAAACCAATCCCAACCACAAAAAACTTCGCTCAAGACCAGACTTATCCATACTGCAAAGAATCTGCTCCTGTGAACTCTGTGAAGAACTCAAAAACCATCTAGACAATGCAGAAAAGGATCTATACATTGACTATAGATATGATTGCATCAAAAGAAAGTCACACAACTCAAAACTCTACATCTAATCCCACCCCATCCAATCCAACTTCACTCAAAACTAGGCATGCACACTCCTAACTACCTCTATTCCAACCACAACCGGCCTTAAATGCAAGCTACTCAATGCAAGAAGCCTTGTAAATAAAATACCTGAATTTCTCCTCTTACTAAAAATGGCTAAATTCGAGATTATATTTGTCTGTGAAACATGGCTCAATGCATCTCTCCCTGATTCCATTAATAGACTATCATGTTTACTGATCAGATCGTGAAATCCGTAGAGGAGGAGGTGTTGCTATCTTCTATAAAAAGTCCCTACATCTAAAAAACATCCAAGTTACCCAGGAACTTGCTCTTCCTGAGACCATCGTCTGTGAACTGTCCTTAAATATCACATTTCGGTTCTTACTATGTTACAGAGCTCCTTATTATGACATCGAACATGCAAACAAGCTAAATACACTACTAACATGGGCAGTATCCTCCCCATACTCTTTTATCTTTCCTGGTGACTTCAATTTACCTCATATTAACTGGACCCTTAACGAATGTACAACTGAACCCACACATGCAACCTTCTACAATGCAGGAACAAATCTGGGACTGGAACAACTAGTAACCAACAATGCTAGACTTAACAACTGCCTCGATCTCTTCTTCTGCAATAGTTTGAATACAATTTACAGAATACAAATTAAAGAACCCTTTCCCAACAGTGACCACAAGATGATTGACTTTTGTCTCAACATATCTCCACACAAAAATCATCACAATGACGGAATCCTCAATTATAACTTCAAAAAAGGCAACTATGATCTTATTAACAATGATCTCTCATCCCTTGATTGGCAACTTCTATTCACTGGACGCAATTCTGTTGAAGACCATTACAACATATTTTTACTTGAAATCAAAACAGTCATCAAACTATATGTACCATTAACAACCCCTAAAACCAGAAGAAACAAATTACCCATAACAATAAGGAAGCTTCAATCCAAAAAGAATCACTTTGGCGGAAAAACAAATCTGGTCACGTTGCCAAATTCAAAAGCAGATACAAAAATTTATGTCACCAGATAAAAACTGAATGCACCAATTATCACATTAGACAAGAAGAAAACCTTCTACACACCAATTCCACCCACACTTTCTACAATTTTGTAAACAACAAAATAAAAGTTTCAAGGTCCATACCACCCCTGAAAGGATCTAATGGTAAAGACTGCAACGACGACACTATTAAAGCCAACCTCTTTAACACATTCTTTGGCTCAGTATTTGTAAACAGCAATGGATCATGCCCAGTATTTCCTAGTTCAACCACAATGATCTAATACATATTGATTTTACAGAAGACAATGTTAAAAAAGCACTACGCAATATAAAACCATCTCTATCTATTGGACTGGATTGAATATGTGCCTACTTCTTTAAAAAGCTATCCACTGCCATAGCTGAACCTCTAAGCATAATCTTTGAAAAATCTTTCAGGACCAGCTCCTTGCCTAACCTATGGTCACAAGCCACGGTCATCCCCATCTTCAAAAAGGGAGACCCCAGCCTAGTTGAAAATACAACAAACTACTCCTAAAACTAAAATCTTATGGTATCTCTGGACACCTGCATAACTGGATAGAAGCATTCCTGTCAAACAGACAGCAAATGGTCAAAATTGGGAGTGTCCTATCAAATTCTGTACTTGTCAACAGTGGTGTCCCCCAAGGCAATGTTCTAGGACCAACTCTTTTCATACTCTACATAAATGACCTCTGTGATCATATCAAGAGCAACTGTGTTCTCTTCGCTGATGATGTAAAGCTATTCAACACCACAGACAATACTGCTACCCTTCAAAAAGACTTTGACTATGTATCAGAATGGTCAAACAAATGGCAACTTCAAGTCTCAACAAATAAATGCTCTGTCTTATATTTTGGCAAAAAAAATCCCGAAAATATAATACAGGCTGAATAGTCAAGACCTTGGTGATGATCCAAACTCTGTCAAGGATCTTGGAGTACTCATCTCTAATGGTCTAAGTGCTAGAGCCCACTGTAACTACATGGACAAAAAGGCGTTAAGAGTTGTTAACCTAATCTTACATAGCTTTTTCTCTGGTAATATTACACTAATAACTAGAGCATACAAAACATTTGCTAGACCAATACTCAAATACAGCTCATCAGTCTGGAACCCAGATTATGTATGTGGTATTAACACAGTTGAGAAAGTCTAGAAATATTTCACAAGAAGATTTCTCCACTCCTCTACTCATTGCAGAATACCTCATGCCACCAGACTCGAAATTTTAGACCTAAAAAACCTACAACTATGCCACCTTCAGTCTGATCTAAGTATAGTATATAAAATCATACATTGCAATGTCCTACCTGTCAATGAATACTTTAGCTTCACCCATAACAACACAAGAGCAAACGATAGGTACAAACTCAAGCTTAATCACATCAAATTTGATTGCAGGAAATACGACTTCAGCAAAAGAGTGGTCAATGTCTGGAATACTCAACCTGGCTCTGTGGTTTCTTTCCCAAACCCGAACAACGTTAACCTTAAACTGTCTACTGTTGATCTCACCCCTTTCCTAAGACGGGCATGCATAAGTGCACCAATGGGACTACCATCCCTGTCCTATTGTTTCTTTTATATTTTTTATATTTTTCTTATATGTATCCATGTATTCATAACTATATTTTTACTTATACGTATTATCTTGTAAGCAATTGACAAAAATAAAAAAATTAAAAATTAAAAATAGAGGTGGAGGGACTCCCCAGGCCTTCTCACATTCCCTCCAGATTCCAACTGGACGTCAATTTGCACATCTGGAAAGAAATATTGATACGTAATTTTTAGTATCCAGTATGATGCAGTCCATTTACCTCAAGCATATAGGAGCCTGTTAGCTTCTATCTCTGCATGGAAGAACTATTATCTTTGATGACTGCTAAAATGGAGACCAGTTGGAGCAAAAATAACATTTTTCTTTCTCAGGGGAGAAGTTCCAGGCAGACTGGCTTTTGCTCTCCAGCCACAGGTTGAGGAGGGTGGGAGATGATGTCATATAAAGAGGAAGGTCAGCCCAGTATTTACATACACTTCTAGATAAAAGAGAAATGGGTTTGGCTGATAATAACACCAAGAGTTTTTCAAAAACCTGAAAATATGTATAAATGTTATGTTCATGTAATAGGGTATATTTCATGCACTATGATGATCTCACACAATTTTTTATTAATCTCCTTTAATGACTTTTATTGAAGGATTAGAAATATTGGGCGTTGATAAGAGCACCTAGTTTTACAAGTTAGGTTATGCCTCACAATCAACTTCTAATCATTCAAGTGAGCACAATATAAAAAAATTGATAATCAATGGAAATCAGCAACTTTCTTAATAATAATAATAATAATAATAATAATAATAATAATAATAATAATAAT